GAAGAAGAAGAAAGAGAGAGAGAGAGAGAGAGAGAGAGAGAGAGAGAGAAATATCTTTATGAAAGAGAAACATCGCTTGGTTGCCTCCCATACACACCTTGACCACGGATCAAACCCGAAACCTAAGTATGTACCCTGACTGGGAATTGAACCCGCTACTTTTTGGTGTATGTGATGACACTCCAACCAACTGAGCCACCTGGCCAAGGCTCCTGATTTCTTCTCATAGCACAGCAACTTACCTATCACCTTGACCACCAGAGGTTCACTGATCATTGCAGAGGAGGAATGGCAATTATCTGCCAGACACTGGTATTCGGTGTCTTCTGTGGGGTTGTCTTTGAATACTGCGGGCTCATTTGAGCCTACGGTGTAATTCTCCACAATGTTACTTGCTTTCAAAAGGTGATAAGAAATAGGCGTGGTTCCATTTATGGATTGGCAATGGACTTCTATGGTCTGTCCTTTTATCACCTCAGACTTGGAGTCATAAAAAATCCTGGGCCTGGAGAGCATTTCTAGAATGACACAGAGAGAAACAATCTGAAGCAACACATCCCACCCAAGGGATTCTTTCTCCAAACTCTGGGCTTCACTCTCTCTGTTATTACTGTGATTTTAAGTGCCTGCCTGCCTCATCTACCTATACAGGCCTCTTTTAAAGTCGGCAGGGAGTGTGTGTGCGTGTGTGTGTGTGTGTTGAGGAGACAGAGGGAAGGGGAATGAATGCTATAAATAAAAGATGATATAAATTCAAGAAAAACATACACCCCTCTAAATACATGTTTATAGTTTCATACATGCACATCCATATGGGGTTATTTTCTTTGTTTTTTTTTTTGTTTGTTTTTTGTTTTGTATTGAGAACGGATGCACACAGGAAAAGCATTAAAAACACAAAAACGAGAGCATTATGTTAAGTGAAATAAGCCAGTCAGAGAAGGGTAAGTATCACATGATCTCACTCATTTGTGGAATATAATGAACAATGTAAACTGATGAACAAAAAATAGATCCAGAGACATAGAAACATCGAATAGACCGTCAAACCTCAGGGAAGGCAGGGGAGGTTCGGGGGGGAGGGGGGTTAAGAGATCAACCAAAGGACTTGTATGCATGCATATAAGCATAACCAATGGACACAGACAGTAGGGGAAAAAAGGGAGATATATGTAATACTTTCAGCAATAAAGAATTTAAATTAAAAACAAAACACAAAACCAAGAACACAAACAGAATATCTTTTCAAATAAATTCTCAGTGCCTCAGCCTCTCCTGATTGGAAATTGCATGCCTCCAAAACAAGAATCCTACTAGGTCATTACTTAGAAGTTAGCTTATTCATAAAGCTTCTATAATGAAATGATCTCCTCCAAAGAACAACAAAAAGAACTAAAATGGAATGACCCACATTTGTGTCTTGCATTATTTCCTTTTGAGTTAGATGACTAGAGGATCAACAGTAGGCTGAGATCCTGGTTCAGTTCAGACTAAGATCTTGGTTGGAGAAACCATAGCCACAGATTAAACTGAAAGACCATGACTAAATAATGACAGTGATAGTGACAGCTTGACCAGAGTTCATTTAGAACCCCTCTACTCAAAGTGTGGCCCAGGGCCCAGCAGAGCCAGCATCCTCAAGGCGCTAGTAAGAGATGTGGAATCTGGCCCCATCCCTGACTTACATTGTAACCAGGTTTTGCACATTCATCAAGTCTAAGACACGCAGCTCTAGGCAGTCCCAGTACCTACATTCTGCCCACCAGAAGTCCTAGACCTTCTGGTCAGCCAGGATATGGATTAAAAACTGGAGCTTCGGCCTTAAAGTTTAGTGTTGACTAAACAGTGTTTCTTGCTGGAACTTATGGGTAGGTGCCTGCTCCAGCAGCCAGAATCCTGCCAATTCAGAGGCCACATCATCAGCATGCAGCCACCATAAAGCCATGAAAATGCTTTTAGCCAACAATATTTCCTTTGTATCGCCCCTCTCCTGTACTCTAAGCAGAAATACTACTTGCTTCTGTCCGGTCTCTTGATTTCACTCATCTCCCTTCCCCTCGAGTTCTTATCCTGCCTCAGTCTGATCTGCCTTCAGATCGGAGAGGGTGGCAACTTCCCTTTTTCCCACTCAGGACTCTGAGCCAGCAAGGACGTACTCACCACACACGGTTATCAAGACTTGGTTGCTTTTTTTGATCACCTTGCCCAGGCCTGCGATACAGGTGTAGTTCCCACCGTCCCATTTTGAGACTATCTTGGTGAAATTTTGAGCCTGTGACACATTCATGTCTCCCTTCTGGATGGCGAAGTCGACTGTATGTGGGACGGAGCACCACAGGTTCAGGCTGTCACCCTCGTCCAGATGTGTGGCGGAAGATTCCAGCTTGGGTTTGGGAAACAGCTCTGAAAAACCAGTGAGTGGAATTGGAGTGAGACGTTTCTGGGAACCACTCCCAAACCCCCTTCACAGAGAGTCCCTGGCCCAGCTGCTTTTGGCAGAACCAACTCCCAACTTCCTTCAAAAAGGTTTCCTTTGCCTCTCAAGGACCGGACAATCATGCAATTGAAGAACTGGCAGGTTTGTGTCCCTTGTTAATCCAAATTATTTCATAGACATGGATTAGGAAAGTTTTACAACTTGTAAAGATTCACGCATTTACCTATTTGTTCATTCACTCACACATTTTATTCCATAAGTATTTATTTCAAGCTATTTCTGTGCTGGGCACCTCGGTTGGCCTTGGGGAGACAATAGTGAGAAAGAAACAGTCCCTGACTTCCGAGCGCTGACGTCTGGTGGGCTACTCAAACACGATGTTTGCAGCAGAGCCCATAGAGGGGCCACTGGACCTAGGCTCGGAGGAAGTCATCCAGGCAAAGAGGGAAAGGGTCATAGGCAGAGGGAACAGCATGTGGAAGACCTGGCAGAAGGTTCAAGCATCTGAAAGTTCAGTTGCCCTGGAACATAGTGGGAGTAGAAGAGGCCAAAGGAGGCCTATGGATCTTGAAGGACCTTGGAAACCACCCAAAGACGTATTAGGCCACTGGACCTAGGCTCGGAGGAAGTCATCCAGGCAAAGAGGGAAAGGGTCATAGGCAGAGGGAACAGCATGTGGAAGACCTGGCAGAAGGTTCAAGCATCTGAAAGTTCAGTTGCCCTGGAACATAGTGGGAGTAGAAGAGGCCAAAGGAGGCCTATGGATCTTGAAGGACCTTGGAAACCACCCAAAGACGTATGGATTGCATTCCCACAGCAGTGGGAAGCATGGAGAGTCTGGGTCAGGGGAAGGGCATAGATGTACATTGTGGGAAGATCTCTGGGAGTAGAATGAATGGGTGATACCTCCTGAGGTCAAGTTGTGAGCTACACATCCTATGCCACTTTAAGGACTTATTAGTACCCTCATTTAGGTTGCATGGCAACAGTAGTAAAGACAGAAGTTTACTTTTAAGAGGTTTTGCCTTATTTATTTATTTTAAATATTGGCCCTTCTGCTTGCTAGCTTTTTTATTAAAGGCCAGTTTTGCCTTATTTAAATATTTCCTGAAATATATCAATATTTCATAGTTATAGTATGTGTTTTATTTTCAGCTACAGGGAAAGTAGTAATTAACTACTTAACCAATGTGAAGACTTGGCTCCTTTATGTAAAGTTTACATTATAAACCAATGCACCCTGATTTCATTAATGAAGGAGTCAGTAATTCTATTTTTTTTTTTCAAATCCTCACTCAAGGATATTCTTCCATTGATTTTTAAAGAGAGTGGAAGAGAGAGGAAAAGACAGAGAGAAATATTGATGTGAAAGAAACACATGGATTGGTTGCCTCCTGCACACACCCTGACCAGGGTCTGGGCTGGGGAGGAGCCTGCAACCGAGATATATGCTCTTGACTAGAACTGAACTCGGGACCCTTCAGTGACTAACGGTCTATTCACTGAGCCAAACCGACAAGGGTGAGGAGTCAGTAATTCTTGAGACTCTCTGCATATTGAGAAAGGGACTGAGTCCCAAAGTTCCTGTTAGGAAAGCTTCTTGGGCTTGAGTTTTGAGACTGCAACCAGGAATCAGGAAATCCAATTCTACCTTTGCCTATGTCTGGGCTGGAGGAGCCTGCAACCGAGATATATGCTCTTGACTAGAACTGAACTCGGGACCCTTCAGTGACTAACGGTCTATTCACTGAGCCAAACCGACAAGGGTGAGGAGTCAGTAATTCTTGAGACTCTCTGCATATTGAGAAAGGGACTGAGTCCCAAAGTTCCTGTTAGGAAAGCTTCTTGGGCTTGAGTTTTGAGACTGCAACCAGGAATCAGGAAATCCAATTCTACCTTTGCCTATAAATTTGCCTGCTGTACAGGTTTGGGGGTACAAATCAACATTTTCATCATTGATGTGATCATCATTGTTATGGAAGTGAATTCCATCTAGTCCACAGTGTCTTCCTAGTTTCCTGTACAGGGAATAAAATAAAACTTCAAGTAAGGTGGTGCCCCAATAATTAATCGATATTTTATTAGGGCACATGTCACCCTTCCTTCCATCCATATAGTTGGTGTTGACTCCTCACCCTCGCCGGTTTTCATAGCTCTAGGTTAGGAGTGGGGAAAAGGAACCAAAGAAATTGACATCCTAAAGTGCCTTACAATCTCATTGGGCAGATTCCAAACAAATGTGAAAAAGTGACTTAGATTTTAAAAAAAAATCCCAAAGCAATGACTTTACATTTAAAAATATGTAAACAAAAAGGTCAAAAATAGAAACCATGTTGCTGAGACGGGTCCAAGGCGGTTTACAATTAGGAAGGAAATGTTAGGGAACAGTCTACTTGTAAAGGAGATAATGGAAACAGACTGGCAGAGCCATGACGTGGACTAAGAAGGATCAGTCTTTTATTCACTCATGAACGGAAATTCATGGAGCTTCTAATGTGCCAGGTTCTAAGCATCAATGATTTACGATGAATTGAGCCCACAGACCTGGTCGTTCAAGAGCTCACACCAGGGGGTGAAGACAGATGCTAAATCTTTGCAGCGACTGTTGACATCAAGGTATGAGCAGAGGGCAATGGGACCTGAGGTGTGACCGTGGGACTCTGCCTGGGGGAGCCTGGATTGAGATTTGGGGCTTAGTCCTTAAGGACAACAGAAGTTTTTCAGTGGCCAAGGAGAAAGGACAGGCTGAGTGGGGAGAGATGCTTGGAAGAGGGTGGGGTCAAGGTGAAGGATCATGGCCCTATAGGAGTCGAAGCCCAGGAATAGTTATGCCAAATAGGGGCCATCTTACAAGGGCTTCTTCTGCAGCTGGCTGAAGGATGAATTGGGACAGAGATGCTCAGGGAGAACCCTGGTGTGAGGCCAGTGTTAGGATGTGATTGTAGAGCTGAGAAAGACAGGACAACAGTGACAGACCTGTCAGCACTTGTGACAGATTGGATTTTCTATCCAAAGACAGATGACAAATCCAATGATTTTTATGTTCACAAAATTATTTTGAGCCTCCAATATTACTGTATAGAGCCATTTGCAGTGAGGCTTGATAGTAACAGGGACATGGAAAACCAGATGCATTAAGTGGGCTTGCAGACATTTCCAAAGGCTTGGTAGAATTTGAACATGGGGGTGTCTACCTGCCAGTCCTGAGGTGCTGGGTCAGTGCCACATGGAAAGGAGGGAGCTCAGGCTCACAGTGCAGGCAGGCTGAGGGCATGAAAGGACAGACCGAGCATAACACTTGGCTTTCCTGGGCCATGGAGACTAATCTACCAAAGGACTTGTATGCCCCACACGGCACACACATCTGGATGTGGGTGATCAGCTACAATAGTAACTTATGGTCACATGATGCTGTATGCTTTCCTAAAGTAGCCTGGCCCAAGGGAGAAGGATGCTTCTCTAACTGGTGAAACAATCCATATGTTCACCGCTTGGTCCCTGTTGCTCTCACGGCAATAGGCCAAGCCTTTATGTACTTCCTCATTGTATTGCATTCTAAAGGTTTGTTTATGTCTGCGAATTCTTCAAGGGCAAAGCCTGACTTTAGGCAGCTCTCTATCCCCAACAGGTTGCCCAAAAAAACAGAAGGTGCTCAATATATGTTGAATACTTTTCTCTAACGAAATAAGACATGTCTTATCCAGTGAAAAACATCATGTGCCTCATAATATTTGTTATTATCAATAATAAACTAAATTGCTAGCACATACTATAGATCAGCAGGATCCAGCACACATGCCAATCACCTAGTTGGGGTGTTGGCAGCCTACCTATGATACTGGGGGACTGTTGCTGCGACACTCAATGCTCATCACGTAGGAGGCTTTCAGTAAATGGATGAACAGACGAAGAAATGAATGAACACCTTCCCTTGGGAACGAAGAAGTGCTGACTCTCGAGAATAAAATAAACATCTGCTCGTGACATCAGAAAGAAAAAGAAAAGAAATGCTGACTCTCTCTGTTCTCTGAGACACTTTCATCCTATATTCATGTGTTCATGCAACAAATAAGTTTTGAATTCCTACTGTGTGCCAGGCACTGTATAAAATAGGTAATGTTCCTGCCCTCATCAGCTTACACTCTAGATTCCACATCCATAAAACTGGAATCATGACACAGATCTCATAGCATTGTTATGGCCATGAAATCAGAAAGTAGGCAAGCCAGTCACACAGTGCTCAACAAAGAGGATTTGTTACCATTTGTGAGTTTGCTAATGCTTTTGCATCCCTGACCCTGTCATAGGGCCTGTCTGGTACTCTAGCACAGTGCTTGGCACAGAGGAAAGATAAATGTGCTCTAATAATAGAAACACTAGCTAACATTCACTGGGTCCTCTTGGTGAGCTCTGTCATCTCATAGATTTGTGGCAAAGAGGCACTCGGTAAGTCACCCGAGGTCACAGAAGTGGTGAGTGGCAAGGTTGGGATCTGATGCCAGAATCTGCACCCTCAACCACCACAGCTAACTGCTTACTGGCTCTGCATTGACTTTTTCCCCACGGGCACACCCCCCACCCGAGTGCATTCATTCGGACAAGCAGGAGTAGAAATATCAGCATCACTGGCCATCCCAGATTCCAGCACAGTCGCTTCTTGAGCCTGCAATAGGCTGACACCCTCCAGGAGCACCCCTACCTGTGATGTTGACCACGATGCTGCTGACCTTGGAGATCTGGCTGGTTTCCACTTTGCACGTGTAGTTGCCGTTCTCCTTCATTGTGGCCATCACTGAGTAGGTGGCCTCACTGCCCTGCTTGCTGTGCCCCACAATGGTCTTGTCCCTCTGGATGATGATTTCTGGAAATGCCTGGACCATGGGCGTCACCTGAATGATGCACTTAATGTGCAGCTGGTCTCCTTCGATGATCACCCCCGCGGGGTGGACATAGAACTGGGGATTGGAGAAGGATTCTACAAGAAGAGGACAAGCCGGTTGGACTCAGGTTCAAGCCTGGGTGAGGGAAAGGGGCACTTTCTCCTCTTCTCTGCTCTTTTTGTTGCCAACCACTATTTTTCCTTATTAATTAAAAACAAACAAACTCAACCTGTCTTCTCAAACAACTTTGAGTTGGCTGCTCTGAAGCAGGGTCCCTCCCTTCTCGCTCATTCTTGCATCTTCAAACTTCTTCTTAACTGCAATTCTCTAACTTTCTTGAGCTTTCCAAAGGCTAAACCATCTTCTCTAAATCTAATCTGCAGAACCTTCTTCAAATGACCTTAGAAATAAAGAGTCATTAGAAACAGACTCTTCCCTCGCCCACCAAGGATTATCTAGGTTCCTCTTGCGTTGTTTCACACAACTCTGGGATTTCAGCATAAACAGTCCATAGCTTTCAAAAATGACAATTGTGTAGACAGTGCTATTTCATGAAAATAAATATTTAAATAACCAGATGCAAAAATAGTGTATTCTACTCCTTTCTTTAAAATGTTGGTTGTAACTGACTGAATTGATTTCATGGCTCACAGTTTGAAAACACCGTCTTAATAAAATGTGTCAGACACCAGGGTGGGGAATCTCCAGGAGACAGAAAGAAAAGCAGGGGTAGGCCTTCGCTCCTGCTAAAAAAATAGCAGATCATAGAGAGTATGTACAGATAGGGTTGTTAAAAATGCCAAAAGTGGCCCTAGCTGGTTTGGCTCAGTGGATAGAGCGTCAGCCTGTGGACTGAAGGGTCCCGGGTTTGATTCCTGTCAAGGGCACATGCCTGGGTTGCAGGCTCGATCTCCAGGAGGGGGCGGGCAGGTGGCAGCCAATCAATGATTTTCTCTCATTATTGATGCTTCTATCCCTCTCTCCTTCTCCCTTCCTCTCTAAAATCAATTAAAAATATTTTTTAAAAATGCCAAAAGTGATATTAATATTTTCATATTCATTAGCTTTTTAACTATAAAGCCATTTAAATTCACACAAAAAAGCTAACGTTTAAAAACATAATCTTTCCTGAATAAAGGTCAAAAAAGGGAGAGCATCTCTCAGGACCCTCAGCAATTGCCCCCTGGGGTAGCTCACTAATAACTGAAGGGTTTTTTCTTATGCTCAGATTAACTCCAGATGCACCAGAGACCTAAATGCAGGGGGGGAAATAACACATTTAAACCACAGAAACAGTAAGAGAAAACATCAATGCATTTTTTTTCTTTCATAATCTTGGAGTATGGAGGAACTTAGGTGTGAATCACAAAGCTGAGATATCATAAGGAAGAAGGATGGATACATTTGATTAACTAAACATTAAAGGTTTTGCATTGAAAAAAATCATATAAAGAAGCTCTAAAACTAAAAGAATTGTGGATTGACTGAAATGACAAGTGGATTGAGCAAAAAGGGATTAAGACAATTAAGACTCATACTAAGGCAGTGGAAGGACTCAGAACATGTGACATTCCTTAAATAAAAATGTATTAACTTTTTAAAAAATCATACAACAAAAACAATGATAGCCCTGGCCAGTGTGACTCAGTTGGTTGGGCATCGTCCTGTGCACCAGAGGGTTGCCAGTTCGATTCCTGGTCAGGGCCCATGCCCGGTTGCAACCTTAATCCCCAGTGAGAGGCCTGCAGAAGGCAGCCAATCAATGATTCTCTCTCATCATTGATATTTCTATCTCTCACTTCCTCTCTAAAACCAAGAAAAAAAATTTTTTTAAGTTTGAGAACTATGGACCTAAAGTGATTACGAACAGTCTTGAGAAGAGCAGCCCAGCCAGAAGTCCTCAGCCCCTTTCCAATCCTGGGCTCTTTCTCCCGGTACCAAACCAGCAAGCCAGAAAGAATGAAAAAAAAAAAAAAGAGAGAGAGAACAGGACTCTCACCCCTCACGGTGACCAGATCGCTCCTGGTGGTCGCAGAGGTCTCCACGTTCCTCCCAGAAACGATGCTGGCTTGACAGAGGAAATAGATCACACGGTCCTGTTCCTCCACTGTGAAGTCCAGCGTCACAAAATTCTGGTACTGAGAATTTTTTTCTCTTTTTTGCTTGATACCTTTTTTGTCTAGTTCGACTTTTTCAACTATGAAATGTACTGGGGCCTTTTCATTGGGGACAGAACAATTGACGATCACGACTCCGCCCTCTATCGCCTCCTTCTTGTCCAGTGTCACTCTGGGACTGGACACTCCTTTGGGGAAAGAGAAAGTCCATTAGTATTAGTTTGATTGAATGGTACAAGTGAGTCATTGTGGTTGACCCATCTAAGAGTTCTTTTCTTGCCTGGCCAGTGTGACTCGGTGGTTGGGTGTCAACCTATGAACCAGGAGGTCACGGTTTGATTTCCAATCAGGGAACATGCCCGGGTTTTGGGCTCGATCCCCAGTGTGGGGTGTGCAGGAGGTAGCCGATCAATGATTCTCATCATTTATGTTTCTCTCTCTCTCCTTCTCTCTTCCTCTCTGAAATCAATAAAAATATTTTTTTTTAAATAATAAGAGTTCTTTTTTTTTTAATTCCCAGAACACCCAGTGCTACCTACCAGGTAATTATTGAGCATGTATGTGTCCAGCACTACACCAGGTACTTTAAAAAGTACAAAATATGTTGAAGATGTGGTTGGTGCTTTCAACCTTTATAATCCCATTGGGAAAACAAGTCTCCCCAAGTGAAACAGTTAAAAACAAAACAGCCCAGCCAGTATTCATTAGTATTTCTGTGGTTGTTGTTATACTTTATTGAATGCCAGTTGCAAGTTAGGTCGACTCTATATTCATTCTCATAATAAACCTCCAGGGTGGGCATGAAAGATAAAGTTATGCCCATTTTACAGATGAAGAAGGTGACGCTCAGGGAGGTTCAAGGCTCATAGTTTTCAAGCCCCCAGAGTGGAGATTCGACCCTGGGTCTGTCTGACTCCAAGGCCAGAGGTTTGGGTATAGGAGGGGAGGGAAAGGGGATTGTGCATGGCCTCCCGTTAAAAAGCAAAGCTGAAAATAACTGAGCATCAGAGGGTGCTGCAGAGACAATGCGTGATGGAGAAGTCAGGAAAGGAGGAGGGTCTCTTTGCCTGGGGGTTCAGAGAAAATGCTAGAAAGGAACAGTGCCTGAGGGGAATCTTGGAGGAAGGGTGTTATTTGGGCAGATGTTGTGGGATGGGGGCTAAGAACAGGATTTCAGGGTACACACGCACATGGGCAACTGCTCGGGCTGAGGTGTGTGAGTGGAGGGTCTAGAACAGAGAAAGGGGTGGAGAGAAAGATACATCGAGTAGTAAACCAGGTCAGATTAGGGGGAGCTGGGAGAAGCTGGCTGAGATGAGATGTCCTGTTCAGGCCCCATAGTCTTGTGGTCATGAACTTCATCTTGGAGTCAGACAGACTTGCTTGCATCCTAAACCTGACTCTTCCTGGATGTGCCACCTCACCCAATCACTTATGACTCTTATGAATTTTGTTGTTGTTGTTTAATTCTCACCCGAGAATATTTTTTTCAATAATTTTTAGAGAGAATGGAAAGGAGGGGGAGAGACAGAGAGAGAAAAACGTCGATGTGAGAGAGACACATGGATTGGTTGCCTCCTGCATGTGCCCCGACCAGTGCTGGGGATTGAACCTGCAACTCAGGTATCTACCCTTGACCAGAATTGAACCCATGACCCTTCAGCCCCCTTCAGTCCACGGGCCGACACTCTAATTACTGAGCAAACTGGCTAGAGTGATCTTTTTTTTTTGTTGGACCCACCAAGTTTGGAGATGGAGGGCTGTCTGCTTGGGAAGAAGACCTGGACTGTATTCATACCACTACTGTTACCTGTGGTGCAGCTGCTATGAAGAGCTCCCCACGGGAAGGGACCATGTCTTACTCACTGCTGGATGCTGGGGCCTGGCTCAGAGTAAAAACTCAATAAATGTTTAATGAATGGATCAACTGCCTTTAGTCTACCTCGAAGACCTATCATAATAACCACGGCTTGAGGTCAACTTTAGAGTCAGATAGATCTTGGTTCTAACTCTAGCTTTGCCTTTGATGAAGTGCGAAACTCAACCTCTCTGAGCCGCAGGGTACACTCCTGTAAGCGGGAGGAACTACGCTTCTCTCCCAGTGCTACTGCAGGGGTTAAATGAAATGTGTGTCAAGCACTTATAAGCATTTATCTCATGGGAGGCTAATAAATGGTAGTTCTCATTACCAGAACTAATGATAGTCTGAATGACTGTCCTGATCACAAAAGCACAAAAATGCAGAAATGAGTTATGGCAGCAGCTGTCAGAAAGTATGGGGCTGAATTTACTAACTCTGTCCATTCAATCATCCAAGTTTTAAGAAAAAGTACCCTAACTTTCTAAAGCCTGCCGGCACATTTCTTTCCAACAAACACTTCCAAAACTCTTGATCTACCACTCTTTCCTCATCACTAATGTAAATGCCCAGACATGTTGGTTCCTCCCCTGTCCTCAGTGGAGATGAAGAAGGGCTGGTTTGCATTTCTGTGGCTGTTGCCCCTGGTGACACAAAGAGATGCCTGACACCTATGGAGGAACTGGCCTGGAGGAGGATGCTGTCATGTTCTCCCATGTGAGTCTCAAAGACTGACAAGAAAGTGGTCAGAGCCCGGCTGGTGTTGCTCAGTGGTTGAGCGTCTACCTATGAACCAGGAGGTCATGGTTCGATTCCCAGCCAGGGCACATCAATTTTAAAAATTTAAATTAAAAAAAAAGAAAAGAAAGTGATCAGAGATTGCATACTTATAAAAGGAAAATGCCACCAGACCCTTGCCCACTGGTTCTTCCTGCTTCCTGTTTGCTGTAAGGGTTATTTTTTTCTAAGGATGGCCTGACCCAGTACCTCATACATGATGGGCCATTCATTCATTCAATACTTGGTTACTGAGCACACTTCATTCACTATTCATTTAATCCTTAAAGCAAAATAATCCTTCAAGATCGGTAACTAGTTATCTCTATTTTAGGGACAGGAAACGTGTCAGTAACTAGTTATCTCTATTTTAGGGACAGGAAATGAAGATCCCAAAAGGTTGGGCATTCTGCTAGGATACTCCCCTCTTTCTCAGCCTCCGCTCTTTCAAGCTGATACCACGTGTCCCTTGTGCCACTTCACCATCAAGCACTCTTACATGATCTTCTGGATCTGGACCCAATGTCCCTCCCTCCAGGAAGACATCTCGAAGTCCTCTAGGCAGAATTATTTCCTCCCGCCTTTGTGCTCCCAAGGCACTCAGATCTTATAGCTATTGGACTGTAATTATCTGTGTAAATGTCTTCCTTCCCCACCAGACTGCAACTACCTCTGGAGCTGGGGCCTGCCTGATGCATGTACATGTCTTGCACTGGTTTTTTCCTGGCTTGCAGCCTTGGGAATTGTTTCTTGAGGGAGGGAATGAATGAATGAATGAATGAAACCCTGTATCTCTGAACCCAAATTTCCCACAATGATTTCTCTCCTGTTTCTCCATCTATTTCTACTTCCCCTTTTCATCTGTTTAATTTATTTCACAATCACTTATTGATGGCCTACTGTGAGCCAGATTCTTTGTTTGAGATACAAAAATAGACCAAATACCACCTCTTTTCTCATGCTCTTACAGTCCAGAAAAGCAGACACATGAGTGAGAAATAGTTGCAATATCAAGTAAAAGAGTAAATGCCATTTACTGGGAACTCATTATGTGCTAGTATTAGGCTTAGCCCTTTACCCACAGGTATCTTTTAATCCTCTCAAAATTCCCTGAGCTGGGTATTATTATTATCTTCATTTCACTGATGAGAATTTTAAAGTTTAGAGAGGTTCGGAGACTTGCCCAGATTGGAATCCAGGCAGACTGACTACAGAATCCAGTGTCAAACCTTGACTCAATGACCTTTATACAAATGCCATTGAATGTAAAGAGCATAAGAGCTTTGAGGACCCTGGGGGAGATCAATTTTGTCTGGAAATGTGTCAGAGAAAAGATCATTGAGCTGAGTCTTCAAGGAGAAATAGTATTTCATGAGGAGATGAGATGAAGAAGGGTATTCCTGGAAGAGGGAACAGCATGTGCAAAGGCAAGATGGTGAGAGATAGCCAGGCATGTTGGGACCATGTCTAATGCCTACATTTTCGGGTTAGGAAAATGCCAGGCAGATGAGTGAGAAAGGTGATGGGCGAGCAGGTAGGCCTAGTGTTACTATGCATTCAATCACTGTTCTTGCTCCTGCATGTGTTCGCTTCATCTGCCTGAGCTACGTTCAATTCCAGGGACTCACCTCTCACCATCACTTCGTACTCCGATGTGGTTTTCATCTTGTTGTTCAGAATCACAGTGCATTTGTATATCCCTGCATTGTAGACCCGGGCTTGGGGGATGAAATAACTCTCTGTGCTCTTCATGGAGGAGACGTTGTAAAACTGCTCGTCATTCTTATAGAACAGCAGCTGGTGCTGAGGCCGGACGTGAGAAGTGGTGCTGATGTCCACGATGCACTGCAGGGTCAGATTCTCCCCGTTTTGCACCTCCTGCTTTGGCAGGATCACCATGTGGACACTGTTGATGGTAAAAGCTAAATAAGAGGGGAAGAAAGGAAGACTCCTGTTATCTGAGAAACAGCATTGTCCCGGTGACCTTCACCACACTGGGTTTTGTCATCACCCTACGCAGCATAGTGCTCAGGGGTCCCAAATGCCTACAGGGGCCAAGTGGGTAATGACTCTGGGTAGTGGGTCAAGCATGAGGCAGTTGGTACTAAGCTGCTCATATTCCACCAAGACAAGTGTGACAAGTAAAACATGCCCCTGCCCTCACCGGTTTGACTCGGTAGATAGAATGTCTGCCTGCGGATTGAAAGGTCCCAGGATCGTTGGGACCATGTCTAATGCCCACATTTTCGGGTTAGGAAAATGCCAGGCAGATGAGTGAGAAAGGTGATGGTTACAGGCTCCAGTGTGGGCTCAATCCCCAGTAGGGGGCATGCAGGAGGCAGTCAATCAATGATTCTTATCATTGATGTTTCTATCTCTCTCTCCCTTCCTCTCTCTGAAATCAATACAATATATTTAAAAAATAAAAATAAATAAAACACATCCCTAAGATAAATATGAGCTGCCACACTGTGGCCCCTGGAGGAAGCATAGGATTCAGGCAGACAAACATGCAAGTTCTGGTCCATCATTTATTACATGATCTTAGGTGATTAACCTCTCTATGCTCTGCTTCCTCCTTGGTAAGATGGGGTAATAATACTTAGTAGGTTGTTGCAAGACTTACTGGAGACTTACTGAGTCTCCTGGATACTCTAACGCTCCTTATTTTTAGGCCAAGGAACAGCTACTGAGATTAAAAGCAGATCCCTCAGTTTCAGACAAGCCTTTTGATCATTGTAACCTGACCAACATTTTATCTCTAATTTTCTGACACACCCTGATTCAGAACCAGCCAACTAAGCCACTCCTGGATTCCTTACCCTCAGAAATGGTGTGAGGTAATAAATTGTTATCTTAAGCCACTATGTTTTGGGGTAATTTGTTAAGCAGCAATAGATAACAAATGTACCACCCAAACAATTTTCAAAAATATTTACCTGATGATTAAGATAATACAGAAAATGGAAAATATTAGCTCTTTGTGAATAAACTGCCCAGGAATAACCAAACTGGGTTACTGCCTATCGATCTCATTATTCACACAACAGAGTGATTGTTCACAACCTGGGCTCCCTGGAAGTTCACCAATGGGTGTTAGGAGGCCATGAACCACCTCCACTTGTATGCAAATGTGCAATTTTATAGAGAGAGGATCCACAGATCTCCTTTCAAAACCCAAAAGGTCTAGAACTATTGTGATGGAAGGACAAGGTTGTGAAACAGCCTAAAGAGGTCAGATCTGTCTGGCCGGTGTGGCTCAGTGGTTGAGCATCGACCTATGAATCAAGAGGTCACAGTTCGATTCCTGGTCAGGGTGTATGCCTGGTTTGTGGGCTTGATCCCCAATGGGGGTGAGTAGGAGGCAGCCGATCAATGATTCTCTCTTATTATTGAGGTTTCTATCTCTCTCCCTCTCCCTTCCTCTTGGAAATCTATATCTATATCTATTTTTTAAAATGATGTCAGATCTTTTCAATCTGGGGAGATGAAGGCTGGTGAAGAATCCAAAGTAACAGAGTCACCATAGTACGGTGCCCGTGCTCACAGTGCCAAATCCTCAAACCCACAACCAAGGGGCCTGCTTTCTTCTGCCTCCAGCTACCAATCAGCTGATGCTCCCGGGAAGATGAGACATTATGACTCAGCCAGCCATGTGTCCCTCAACCTGGAAATGACTCAGAAAGAAAGGTGGGGGGAGAGAGGGAGAAGCCACACACTATTGTCTGGAAAATCACCGGGAGCCACGAAGCATGGAGTCCCTGCTGAACTTCAGTGCTCAGCACAGAGCATGCTGGCCCGTCTGCTCATTTAAATCTGAAATACTATCTCCAAGTTCAGTTGGAGTCTCCTTCAATGAGACATTCACCGAGCACCTGCGCCAGGTGATGGGCTTAAAGGGTGAATACAAAATCATCCTACTGTCATGGACCAGGCCGGCTGGTGGAGGCCCAGATAACTGGAGTACAGAGATGCAAACACCAAGAGGAAGGGCTGCCCAGGAGAGGCTAAGGAAAGTCTGAAGGAAGTGACTGCTGAACCAAGCCTTAACCTGGCCAAGAACAGGGGTGCTCAGGCAGGAGAACAGCATGTACCAGGACACAGGGGCATGACAAATCAATGAATCTGGGCACAAACAGTTCCCGGAACCAGAGTATGGGGCCGGAGGGGCCACAGGAGCCAGGTAGGAGGTGCCAGAATAGAGGGCCTTGCCTGCTGGGCTGACAAGCTGGGTCCTGTCCTGAGAGTGTTTAGGACAGTGAGGGCGAACCTTTTGAGCTCGGCATGTCAGCATTTTGAAAAACCCTAACTTAACTCTGGTGCCGTGTCACATATAGAAATTTTTTGATATTTGCAACCATAGTAAAAAAAAAAGATTTATACTTTTGATATTTATTTTATATATTTAAATGCAATTTAACAAAGAAAAATCAACCAAAAAAATGAGTTCGCGTGTCACCTCTGACACGCTTGTCATAGGTTCGCCATCACGGGTTTAGGAGAAGGGTGACAGGATGACACTGGAGCTTTAGAAAGATCACTGTGGGCTGGGCAGAGAGACCAGCTTGGACAGGGGTTAAGGTGAAGCTGAGGAGGCCTGAGAGAGGGCAGGAGCAGGGGGAATGAAGGGAAGGGATGGACTTGGGAAATATTGAGCGGACACAAAAGGACTTATTTCGGGGGCGGGAGCAGGGGGTTGTTTCTGGAACTAGACAGTGGTGACATTTGCACATTATGAATATACAAAATATCATTAATAAAAAATAAATTTTATGTTATATGTATTTTATTTAAAAAATGTTTAAAGACTTGTTTGATCGAATATGGGGGTTGAGACAAGAGTGGAAAATAAGGTCCTGGATTAGGTACCCAGGAGGATATAGGTGTCGCTGACTAACTCAGAGAATCGCAGAAAGAGATAAGGGTGACGAAAAAAGTCAGGTGATGAGACTGGTTTGAGGGATCTGGGAGATGACTAGGAGGAGATGTCACCTACTGGCCCCGCATGATGCTCAGGGGACAGGCCAGGGCTCTGCTAGACCAGCAGAGTATGTGGAGGAGCAGAGGGGGTTGAGCAACTCCAGAGAGGATAAGACCTGTGAGCCTGCAGAGACAAGGGGATGGAGGGAGTTCAAACCCTGGGACAGTCCAAACATTCCCGAGGGTTTGTCAGGGATGTAAGAGAACACCAGGGAAGAGGGTCCAGGAGGCCAAGGAAGGAGGCTTATTGCAAAGGCAGCACAGGGCCCCAGAGCTGAGGGCTGGAGTGTTCACAGCTTTGGCATCAGAGGCTCCGGGAAAGGTTTCCAGTGTCAGGGGGCAGTGCCCAGCCAGGGGCTGAGGGAGTGAGTGAGTGAGGGCTGACTGAGAGGTGAGGAAGCATAGACAGTGAATATAAACCAGCCTTCAGAGACGGGAACAGACAGATAGGGGACTTGAGATAAATGGAGGGGGTGGGTTGTGTGTGATTTTCCTTTTTCCCCAAAAAATAAGAACTACCAATCATGTTTGCAGGGGAAAGACCAAGAAAGGGGGAAGAGAAAGATGCTAAAAGTGGGATGGCAACTGCACAGATTATAGATTGTGATCCTGGGGGGCCATGCAAGGCCTGGGCTCAGATCCCAGAGGGACAGGCTGGCCCTAGTCTGGGGGGCAAGGGGGGCGGGGCAGACGTCTCGTCTGAATCAGGAGGGAAGCCGGGAGGATGGGTGGGACGCAGATAAGCCTGCAGCCAGGGCAGGGCGGGAAGTTGAGGGAGTTCCCTCCAGACAGCACTGTTTTCAAGGTGAAGATGGGATTGAGATCATCTGAGGCTGGCTGGCCGAGTGGGCTGAGGGCCTGAGATAAAGGAGTGGAAAAGGCCCAGGCTGACCAAGCACCTCAACCACAGAGAGCCTGCCGTGTGGAGCAGGCTCCTGGTGTGGAGGGCAGTTACAGGCGTGAGCAGAGCAGGGACGATGGGCCAGGTACAGGAGGTCACCAGGACAGAAAGCCCTGGGTGCCTGGCAATGGATAGTTGTAGGGTGAGACCTCACCTCAGGGTGACCTTTCCTCCCCCACCATATTCACTGAGGTTTGGACCCCCGGGGCCTTTCCTCCCAGAGATAACATCTAGGCCTCAGTTGTATTTCACCTGCAGGCCCATAAAAGCAGCCAAACCAGCCACCCCAGGGCTGACCTCAGGACCAGCTGCATTAAATAATGAGCCCCTGCCCTGGTAGTGGCCAATCAATCAGTGGAGACCACAACCCTGAAAGGACACACTAGAAAACTGCTGAATATTCTACTGAGATCTTCCCCTGGGACCTCCCCTAAAATCTCCACCCATAAAACCCTTGGGACAGAGGGCCCACCGGCTGGCCCTCCTGGCACCACACCTGTGCCTTTCCCTTTCCGTCTTCCTGCCCATCCTCCCCTCCTCGCCCATGACCTCCCTCAGTCCCAAGCTCCTAGGGCCCTTCCTTTGCCTCTATAACTTGTTTCCTAAGCCCATTTCTTCTACAAATTACTTCTTCTACCTTTGCGATTTTGTAAATAGATATTCTCTTAGAGTCTTGGCTCTGAATTCTTTCCTAGCCAGAACTCAAATACCAAGGGTGCTGAACCCAGGTCCAGTCTGACCCCACAAGTCTAACACCTGGTGCTGTTCCCGCGCCTGCAACAATCGGTCATGCATGTCCAATGCCCTGACAGCATGGCCTGAGGAATGGGAGACCTGGACCCTAGCCCCCACTCTCACATCCAGTGCACAAGTACTTTCTGGCCTCTGGGCCTCAGTTTCCTCAGGTATAAAACCAGGTGGAGGCATGGGAAGAGATCAACCAATGAACTTGTATGCATATATGCATAATCCCTGGACACCGACAATAGGGTGGTGAGGGTATGGGGCCTGGGGAGGGCAGGAGCAGGCTCGAAGAGGTTAATGGGGGCGGGGGAGGAGGATCTATGTAATACTTTCAACACTTAAGATTAAAAGAAGAAAAACAACCAAAAAACAACAAGGCGGAGACCTAAGGAAGCAGTGGGAGAGCCTTCTACTCTGAGTCCTGCAGTTCCGAGGTTTTCCCTGAAGGTACAAAGATTATTCTCTACGAACCATGGGAAGGCGGTGATTTACTTCCATCTAAGGTGGGGAAGGAGCTGGGAGAGTCTGGAGGTCCTGGGAAACAGGATGTGCAAGAGACACAGAAGCCCAGAGGCAAGAGTGTTGGCAGGGTGTGGTTGGCCAAAAGCTGGCGGGAGCGGGCTGGCTGGACAGAGAGGGTGGGCAGGAGCGATTGTAAAGGTGGGGAGGACCCAGGACTGCGCGTAGTAAGCCATCACTCATCACATGCTGGGCAGGCCAGGCACCTCCTTTTAGCTACTCTCACCCTCACGGGAGTCCATGCTTAATCCTCTTATCATCCCCACTCTGAGAAAAGGGCTCACAGAGGCAAAGTAAGGCTGGCCGTAAAGAGCTGAGGCAGGCCTCTGGCTCCAGACAGATTCGGCGGGTTTTGGAAAGTGGAGATTCTAGTGCCGGTGCCCTGCCAACTGTCTCTCCCTCCATCTGGCAAGTCGGTTATTTCTCTGAGATGCAGAGACACCATCAGTTAATTGGGATGATGAGGATGATAATGGATATCCTGCCTCCATGGGTTGCCATGGGGGTCAAATGCCTGCAATAGCACATGGGCAGTTGACCTGGAGACCAGCAGATGGGCTTTGCTAGTAGCCACACCAGCCCTCTTTGTCCTGGAGCCTCTGCTTTGAGCCCCGGCTCATCAAACCAGCATCATCCAAGTACATCATCTCCAGAGGCTGTACAATTGTCTACAACCCAGTCACCCCCATTCTTTGCCGACTGAAGTGACCACTGACAAGGAATCCTGCTCTGTGGGCTCCACTAAGCCCTCTGCCCCAGCCAAGCCCCCTCTTTCATAGGGTCCCAGATGAAGCAAAACCATACCAACTTATCTTGTTTCAAAATTACGTAGCTGCAAAGGGGATGATAAAACAGACTTCAAGGATAAGCCCCCCTCCCTGTGCACAACCACACAATATTACAGTTATAACTGCAGCTTCATGGATGTATGAGAAATGAAAACCAATATGTTTTAGGTCATTTGGGAGAAAAAAGTTGTAACAACAATTTAAACTCTGTTCTGCCTTCCTGAATCTAACAAATGGATTACAGTTCATTTGAGAATAAAACCTTTTGGAAGGGGGTAGAATATGCAAATGAGAAATGTATGGTAGAACAACAAAAAACAAATTATGCAATTGCTCACTTTTAAAAAATCACCTCCCCAAACCTAACATACAGCAGTTAACTAAGATCTAGAAAATGTATGCTACTTCCAGAACATGTTGATTAGAACTTGGCTTAGAACAAGAGTTTTTTCTTTCCTTTCTAAAACCTTCTAAAAATGCCAGAAAGCAATAAACTTCAGCTCTCAATTGGACTATGTTTCCTCAGTTGTTATAGATATTAACCCAAGCAATTCGACATGAGTGTTCAGAATCACGGAAGACACAATGAACCTAGGTAGAAACTTTACAACTTACAGTTCTCTTGACCCTCGAGGCTCGAACCTGGAAAAGACAGAAGAAATACGTTGACTTCATTTGCTTCAATTCTCACGAAGTGTAATTGAGGTCAAAATAGAATAAAACTCACAGAGCAGAAGTACCAGCAGGACTCCCAGCCACATCTTGCCTTCTTTAGTCAACCCCAGTCGCATCCTGAAAGCAAGACTTTGGGCAAGTTACTGCTGCCTTTGGGCCATGCCCCGGGGGCAGAAGACACTTCCCATGCAGTGCAGAGGAGCCGCCCTGTGAAAAGCAGAAAGATCACTCTGGTGACTTCTCCCAGCGCAGCGAGAGGAGATGGGCTGCGATGCTGGTCAGGTAATGGCGGCCATTGCTGGAAACCGGGAACAATGCCTGGGCTGGCCTGATATCTCCTCAGGAAATGACTGGTCTTCCTGAGGGGCCACTGAACACAGCTGCTTTGTTTAGTTTTTAAGGGGGAAAAAGGCGCAAGTGGTCATTTCGCCTCAGCCTTCCTGACCCTCCTCGTTAGGCTGGGTATGGAGCCCCTTCTCATAGCAGGGTAAGAGGGTTCCTCTCTCTCCAACTTCCAGCCGAAGGGCCTCTCTCCGTAGGCACACAGCAAGACCTCTCTGCTTTCCTTTGCCCCCCAAAGGGGCTCTTTCCACACAGCCTAAGTGTGGACCTCCTGCCTTTCCGGGCAAGGCCATGGGACAGGGCTGACTTTTCCAGAACATCGCAGGTTCATCAGGGAAACCTCTTAATGGCTCCCACTGCCCTCCAGAGAAAGCCAATTTACAATCCTCCACCTTCCAGCCCTTGCTTATCGCTTATCGCTCCAGCCTGGTGTCCGTGGACAAAAAAGGAGGTTAGGGAAAGTAACCTCACAGGGTGATCTAATCATAAATTCCTATCTGAGTCAGACAGGTCAAGCTCAGACATGTAACTTTTGGTTTTAATCGATTTTAGAGAAAGTGGAAGGATGAAGGGCTGGGACATCGATTTGTTCCACTTATTCATGCATTCATTGGTTCCTTCTTGTATGTGCCCTGACCAAGGATCGAACCCACAGCCTTGGCGTATTGGGACGTCACTCTAACCAACTGAGCTACCCGGCCAGGGCCTATAACTTTTGTAGTAAAAGGTCCATCTTTGCCTTACGCAGACCCTGTGCATCATTTTTGTGCATCTAGATTAACACACCTTTGAACTTCTAGGTAACCACCCTCAAGAGAGCACATAGGTCCTTTGGCAGGGGAGGTGGGGGGTTAGAGAACAACCAAAGGACTTATATGCATGCATATTAGCATAACCAATGGACACAAACACTGGGTGGTGGGGGTTTGCCCCGATGGGAATGGC